TGAAGATTGACATCTCAAAGTATAGAGGGGTCGAAGAAGACTCCCTCTTGAGATGGTTCGTCGAATTGGATGACGCCATAAGGGCGCGTCGCATCGACGACGGGGATATGCAAGTTGCATTTGCCCAATCAAATCTGGCAGGACGTGCCAAGACTTGGGCACTGGGGCTCAAGCTGCACGACCCATATGCGTTTGGGTCGTTGGAAGTCTTCAAGTCGCGGCTCAGACAAACGTTTGAACCGCCTAGAGCTGAGTTCAGAGCTCGAACCGAACTCTTGAAGCTCAAGCAGGGTAAGCGTGATGTGCACGCTTACGCTCAACATATACGACATCTCACGAGTTGTATAAGTTCCAATCCGGTGGATGAACACACGTTGGTTTCGGTGTTCATGCAGGGTCTTGCGGATGGTCCCGTCAAGACTCACCTGTTCCGGCTTGAACTAGATTCACTAGAACAAGCCATTTCAATTGCGGAGCAGGAAGACTTCAGTCTGAGACAGGCTCGCGCCAGCTCGACATCATATCGTCAACCGAGACGATATGACAACGGAGGTCCAGAGCCGATGGAACTCTGTTATGTAGAGAGCGAGAAGGTTCGCTCTACAGGCTACAAGAAGTTGCAGAGATGCAACAGATGTCAAAAGACAGGACACTACGCTTACGAGTGTAGTGCCCCTCGTCCAGTGTCTCGCGACACTGGGCGTAGTGACCGTCCACCCATGAGAAAGGGGGCAGGGACGAGGGTCCGCAGTTGGTGCAAAGACGCAACAACGGGATGGACCGTCAAAAAACGGACAGGATCAGTAGGTGCGGAGCACCCTACTGATCCAGCAACGTCAAGAGAATTTGTAGGCCTCTTGATGAAGGTTGCTCCCAACACACAGACATTGTGCGTTGCTGCTCTAGGTAATGAGATCTCACTCATTACCTTGAAACTCGAAGTGACGAATAAGTTGTCCCTTCGAGCTCTAGTCGATTGTGGGGCGTCCAACAATTTTGTGCGACGCCAATCGCTAGAAGATGGTCACTTTAAATTCAGTGAATGTGACACACCTCCTACGAGGATGACGGTTCGTCTTGCGACAGGCGCATCCGTAACCGTCATGAAGCGTATAGTGAAGATTCGCTATACGCTAGAAGATACCCAATATGACGATGACTTTATCGTATTGGATTTGGATGACAAATTTGATGTCATCCTTGGAATACCGTGGCTCAGAAGGTACGAACCACGGGTAAACTGGCAACATCGGACAGTAACGATGCCTGCCGCTTGTTCATCAGATGGCCATCTGATGAACGTTTTGGGCGTCCACAAGCGTGTGGATGTACTACGAGTGAGTGCGATGGCCTCACTTGTGGTACGGTCGTTAGTACGACTGCACAAAACCTTAGTGTACCAAACGGTTACACTTCGGAGCAAAGTTCCGGCGGCTGTGAGGAAACACAGGCTGCGCCGAAGGTCCACCACTCGAATAAGTCGGGTGGACTGGGACAAAGATGTATCCCTAGAGGGGAACATCTAGAAGAGAAACAATCGATCGCTCAGGTTAAGCGAAACGATAATCCTAGATCGACTGGAGAGTCTTTCGTAGAGGATCTCGCTGTGGTTGCGCAACCCCAGCTAGAGGAAGTAAAGGGAATAAGTCCCAAGACTACAAATACGGCGGAAATAAGTTCCCCGAAACCCGCGGGAATAAGTCCCCGGGAAGACGAAGGAATAAGTCCTTCGAAGCCTGAGGGAATAAGTCCCCAGGAAATGACAGAGACATTGAATGTCATAGTCAATAACGGATCATGTGTAGGCGCTTATACACTTGATCTGATTGCGCCTCCGAAGTTAACTTCGGAGATCACTCAGTTGCCAACGCTCGAACATAAAAGGTTCTTGCGTGATCTGCGTAGTGGCAAAGTCAAGCAGATCTGCATACTCGTCGCTGACGACGAGTGTGTAACCGACATAAGGTCAGCAACAGTGTTTACTGAGAACGAGAGAGTTCTCAGTAGTTCATCTATGGACGAGAGTGTCCTAGATGAAAAGACACGAATTGAGCGATATGAGTCCCAATCATGGGAATCGCTCAAGGAAAACCCTCTCTATGAGGATTTGGTTGAATTCAAGGATGTATTCCCTGAAACTGTTCCGTGCGAATTACCGAAGGATAAAGGTATTCGACACGAAGTCGAGCTTAAACCAGGCTCGAAGTACTGTGTCATGAAGCAGTGGCCACTGCCTCGTGAACAAGTACTTGCGATCGACAAGTTCTTTGCCGATCGTTTAGCAGCGGGCCATGTGAGGGAATCAACTTCCCCACATAGCTCTCCGACCTTCTGTGTGCGAAAAGCAACAGGAGGGTGGCGGATTGCGGATGCATTTAACAAGTTGAGTGTTGCAACGGTACGGTCTCAGACGCCAATACCAAGGAAGGACGTAATCATTGATGGTATGTCAAAGAGTACCATCTTTTCGTCCATGGATTTGATGGATGGCTTCTATCAAATCCTAATGCGGGAACGAGATATACCCTATACCGCAGTTAGCACGCCTAGTGGCATGCTCTGGGAATGGCTAGTAATGCCACAAGGGCTCAGTAATGCCCCTGCCACGTTCAACAGGTGTGTATCACATCTGTTGAGGCCAGTACGAGAATTCGCGCCGAGTTATTTCGATGACGTATTCATCCATAGTCGAGCTATGGATGGAAAGTCGGACGTTGAGGTTCACAAGTACCACGTCCGACAAGTTCTTACAATCATGCGAAAGCATCAATTGTATGCAAACCTCAAGAAGTGTATATTTGGAGCAAGCGAAATACCACTTCTTGGGTGCATCGTTGGTAAGAACGGTGTACGTCCTGATCCCGAAAAGATCAAGGCGATCACCGACTGGCCTGTGCCGGTCGATGTCAAAGGTCTTCGAAAATTCCTTGGGCTAGCGGCGTATTTGCATAAGTATTCACGCAATTACGCCGAGATGACTGTACACCTCTCTCGTTTGTTGAAAAAGAACGAGAGGTGGTTATGGAACGCTGAATGTCAACGCTCCTTTGAGGGTATCAAGCAGAGCTTGATACAATCCCCAGTCCTAGCAATAGCCGATCAGGACAGGCCATTTCATGTAGTCTGTGATGCCAGCGATTTCGCAATCGGCTGTGCATTAATGCAGTACGACCTTGAAGGCGTTGAACGCGTCGTCTGCTATCAGTCGCGTCAGCTGCAACCAGCTGAGCGGAACTATCCAGTGCATGACAAGGAACTCCTTGCCATGAAGTATGCACTCGCGAAGTTCAGAGTCTATCTATTAGGAGATAGACCCTTCGTTGTTTACACTGACCATGCGTCCTTACGCACGGCAGTGAACAGCCCGCACCTTTCACAACGAATGGCGCGGTGGTTGTCATTCTCTGCAGAATACAACTTTACGGTCGAGTACAAACCAGGACGACTTAATGTCGTCGCTGATGCACTCTCACGTCGTCCCGACTTTGAAACAGTCGCGAAACCCAACAGTGAGACAGTCACTGTTGCGGTTATGACGTCCTCAGTTCCATCTACAACGTTGTATGATGATGTGAGGCGGGCATACGCCCAAGATGGTGAGATAGTGAAGTTGTTGTCACATCTCTCCCAACCATCTCGAGAATCGTTGAAACGATTGTCGTCTGCGTATCGATCTGCATCAGATCGATACACTACTCGTAACGGTTTACTGTACTATACAGCCGTTTCTGGTGACACACCACGTGTTGTCATTCCAGATGATACTGATCTGCGTTTGCGGATCATGTTCGAGTATCACGACGCTCCTATAGGAGGACATCGTGGCCGAGAGAAAACATATCTCACGGTAAGTCGAGACTTTTACTGGCCCCGCCAGTATCAGTTTGTGCGAAAGTATGTTCGCGCATGCGAAGTCTGCCAACGAGTGAAGTCAAGTCCTTCACTGCGTGCACCTTTACAGCCTCTACCGGTTCCGGCTGAGTGCTGGGAATCCATCTCAATGGATTTCGTCTTCGGGTTACCCAAAGACGCACGCGGGAATACGGGTATTCTCGTATTTGTTGACAGATTCAGCAAAATGGTACACCTTGTGGCTGTACCAGAGACAATCACGGCAAGTGGCTGTGCTTGTGTCTTTATTGACACCATCTTCCGACTTCATGGGTTGCCCCGTGAACTCGTATCAGACAGAGATCCACGATTCACTGCTGATTTCTGGCGTTCCGTGTTCAAATCACTCGGAACGCGCTTGAAGATGTCAACATCTGATCATCCAGAGTCAGATGGTCAGACGGAACGTGCCAATCGTGTCCTTGAAGAGATACTTCGAGGATACGTACACTCCTTTAAGAGTTGGAGTGAGTTTTTGCCGATGGTAGAGTTTGCCATCAACAACTCGGTGCATGCGTCCACGAGACATACACCGTTTTACGTGAATGGCTTGCGCCATCCGCGTGTACCCACCTTACTAGAGTGTAACTCTGGTTTAAGGGGGGGAGGGACTCGCGCGAGCAAAAACCGATTTGGTTCACGCTCATCACGCTCTGACGAGGAAGTCATTGCGTTTGATGCCGATATCGATAACATCGATATCGAAGAAGATGATGCCAGTGAGAGTGCGGAAGCCCTCACTGAAGAAAAGGTTGTTGTTTCTGCAGTGCGCTCACAGCACACTGAAGCTAACGAGTCATCAGATGAGTTCATACTGGCTCGTGAAACGGTAGTCCGTTTTGTGCAAGACTCCATCGCCGAAGCGGTGGATAAGCAAAAGCAAAACGCTGACAAGAATGGAAGGGCAAACACTCTTTTATTTAATAAAGGTGACTTAGTCCTACTGTCTACGGTTAATCTACCAAAACATGTAGTGACTAACTTGGGTAGCAGTAAACTACTACCCAAGTACATTGGCCCATTTCGTGTATTGCACCGCCTAGGCAATGCATACACGATCGAGTTACCACGTAAGATGCGAACGCATCCCACGTTTTACGTTGGTCGGCTTAAGCCGTACCATCAGTACGCTGCTTCTTCCGATGAAGAACGCCCTTGCGCTCAAGCATCTCGCAGAGAGCCTTGTGCTCCCGATGGTGGGCATCAACAAGGGTCTGAAGAGCAGTTATCTCAGCCCGAGACCGATCAACAATCCCACGAGCTACCCTTAGCTCGTCACGAAGAGATGTCAGAGATCTCTCGTTCTCAAGCTGAGCAAAGGCAAACTCAGCTCGATGCTTCGAGGCAGTGTCCACCATCTGGAGACGCCTATTCCGCTCATGTTCGAGATCGTCGCGTAACCCTTGCGTTACGCGATCAAAGAAGCTCTCGGGAACACACCGATCCACATGATCGTGTGGAGAGCGTCTTTCCTCCTCCTCCACCTCCATTAGAGGACTCTCGCGGTGGCCAGCGCTATCTAGTTGAGCAGCTGTTGAACCACCGCGACGTGAACTGGACGTCGGACGAGTTACCTCGTCCGGTGGCGCGGCTATCCCCCGTCCTGGGATTCTTGGGAGCCCCGCTCCCAATTGATGGTTGACGTACTGGGTCTGGTCGAGCAGTACGACGCGGCACATCCTGTGCCGCAGAAGGACCGCCGGAGAAAGTCTTCCCGGCACGGTCGTAAAGGGATTTCAGGTTGTCAATCCCTTCGTACATCTCAGTAGAGACACGTACGCGCCACCACGGGCTGGTAAGGAGGTAAGCCTCCTTAGGTGCTCGTGCAGAGTTGTTCACACAACATGGGCACGAGTCTCCCCAAGAGAGGCAGGGTAATCCTTTCTCCCTTGACAGACGATGCAGCTTGTAGCGTGCACCTGTCGGGGTTCGCTTTTCAAACTTATCACGAGCTTTGATAAGTTTGTCGTTCCAAGCGTCACGACCTACATCCTCGAGATTATGGATGTAGGCGTTCCACGCCTGAAGTAGTGAGGGACCATCACGTTTGTGATTCCCACTGTACCATCGATGTCTGAAGAAAGCATCGATGAAGAACTCATGTTCAGCGCGATAGTCTTTCGCGCTGGGGTCAAGTGATGGATCCTTGACGAATCGAACAATCGTGTTCGATAACGATCACTCGTCGTCGCCGACAAGTGATCCATGACAGAATTTAGGAGGCATCCATGCCTTCTTTTCTGGAGCGAGACGCAACACATTGCGGTCCCGCTCTTCCTGCGACGTGCCGACAGAAGTACTGGCACCTCGCTGTGAAGTGGTGTCCATTGGAGAAACGACACCACTATTGGCGCCCGAGTCTCGCGACCTCGAGCGCCTTCGCTTCGGCGATGGTTCATCTGACTCATCAGATGAACCAAAGATGCTGCGACGCAAAGCATCGTCCATGCCACGCTTGGCAGGCGGCTTGGATTCAATTGCCGTCGATACGGATCCGTCATCCGTATCAGGAGAGTACGAGACACCGAGCTCGTACTCTGTGAAGACACGAGTGTCTTCATGACCAGCGCCTGCATCACCAGGTGATACAGGCTGAGTCGATTCAGCAACCGATGGGATATCAGTTGCTGTAGTTTCTGCTTCGGCGTCCGCACAGAGACGTGCAGACGCGCTCTCGGCGGCCTTGCTCGCGCATCGCATGGGCTTGTTTACCATGCGATGAGATGTTGGAAAGTGGACGCGGACCAACAAGTGCAAACCCCGTCCCAAATGATTTGGGACGAGTATCCATTTAGTCAATCAGTCACTAAAGTGACTGATGGTTAGGGGGGTGATGTAACGGGGTGAATCGTTACATAACAATTTATAAGAAATTGTTAATAGAATATAACTATAAGAGTTATATTCTCAGAATATTGTCATAAGGACAATATTCTGTAGCACTTCAAGTAGTTCCTAATTGGTTGATATAGGCCATTATATCAACCAACGAAGACGTGCCACGACAGACGCACGCAATGAGTGGTGAGCAGATAACTGATTTACACATTTGTATTTAGACATAGTTAGATGAAGATAAATAGTGATTTATTGCAGACATTAACTATTATAAATACAGTTCTACTTTTACTCTAACCGAGTACTCGCTTCTTCTTACCGTCTTCCTCTGCACGTACGAGTGTACGTGAAGTTACGAGGCACCGCCTTATTCTGTTATCAGAATAAGTAGCTTGTACTGTCACCAGTACAAGCTTCAGGGTGCCCCGTTACAGGGATACACAGAAATAAAAATGGCAACCGGTATGGAAGACAGCTGCACCTGTACCGTGTTCATGCAACGTTGTGGTCATAGTCGTTTGATCGGCGGAAATATCGTGCCGTCCATCCGTATGATCTGCGATGAAGTCCGTACATCTTCTATTACTCCCTCTAGTATCACGAACGATTTGCAGTTTATGCAGACTACTTTGGTCGTCCGTGAGCACCACCCTTCACTATCACGACAATACTTTCAGAAGGATAGAAATGGATGTTTACACGTCAACCGTCTATTCGATTCACAATCTCCAAGTGTTTTGCATTTGATCCACCGCCCACCCTCGCGTGCTTGTCTACAGTTTTGAAAGGCAGCTATGAAACACATCGATCGCTTCCCTGGCGCGTTGCGCACTACATACTCTCTCACTGATGCCACACACGCGATGCGGGATGTGCCAGGACTGCTGGATACATGCGGTTGTAATGTGGAGTGGTACGGGCGCGTCGCTGTAGCTATAAGCGGTGAAATATCGATTTTGGTCTAGTTGCGGTGTGTAGTTTGTGAAGCGTCCCCGTGGCCCAATGGATAAGGCATCCGCCTACGAAGCGGGAGATTGCGGGTTAGAGTCCCGTCGGAGACTCCCTTTTCTCTACTCGTTCTTTTGCACTCCTTCTTTTTGAACAGATGATGACTCACGACGTTATGACGCTGGACCAGTCAGCGTTCATACATGACATCTCTCGGAAGCCTTCATTGGGATACACAGAAATAAAAATGGCAACCGGTATGGAAGACAGCTGCACCTGTACCGTGTTCATGCAACGTTGTGGTCATAGTCGTTTGATCGGCGGAAATATCGTGCCGTCCATCCGTATGATCTGCGATGAAGTCCGTACATCTTCTATTACTCCATCTAGTGTCACGAACGATTTGCAGTTTATGCAGACTACTTTGGTCGTCCGTGAGCACCACCCTTCACTATCACGACAATACTTTCAGAAGGATAGCGATGGATGTTTACACGTCAACCGTCTATTCGATTCAGATTCTCCAAGTGTTTTGCACTTGATCCACCGCCCACCCTCGCGTGCTTGTCTACAGTTTTGAAAGGCAGCTATGAAACACATCGATCGCTTCCCTGGCGCGTTGCGCACTACATACTCTCTCACTGATGCCACACACGCGATGCGGGATGTGCCAGGACTGCTGGATACATGCGGTTGTAATGTGGAGTGGTACGGGCGCGTCGCTGTAGCTATGAGCGGTGAAATATCGATTTTGGTCTAGTTGCGGTGTGTAGTTTGTGAAGCGTCCCCGTGGCCCAATGGATAAGGCATCCGCCTACGAAGCGGGAGATTGCGGGTTAGAGTCCCGTCGGAGACTCCTTTTTCTCTACTCGTTCTTTTGCACTCCTTCTTTTCGAACGGATGATGACTCACGACGTTTCGACGCTGGACCAGTCAGCGTTCATACATGACATCTCTCGGAAGCCTTCATTGGGATACACGGAAATAAAAATGGCAACCGGTATGGAAGACAACTGCACCTGTACCGTGTTCATGCAACGTTGTGGTCATAGTCGTTTCATCGGCGGAAACATCGTGCCGTCCATCCGTATGATCTGCGATGAAGTCCGTACAGCTCCCATTACTCCATCTAGTGTCACGAACGATTTGCAGTTTATGCAGACTACTTTGGTCGTCCGTGAGCACCACCCTTCACTATCACGACAATACTTTCAGAAGGATAGCGATGGATGTTTACACGTCAACCGTCTATTCGATTCACAATCTCCAAGTGTTTTGCATTTGATCCACCGCCCACCCTCGCGTGCTTGTCTACAGTTTTGAAAGGCAGCTATGAAACACATCGATCGCTTCCCTGGCGTGTTGCGCACTACATACTCTCTCACTGATGCCACACACGCGATGCGGGATGTGCCAGGACTGCTGGATACATGCGGTTGTAATGTGGAGTGGTACGGGCGCGTCGCTGTAGCTATGAGCGGTGAAATATCGATTTTGGTCTAGTTGCGGTGTGTAGTTTGTGAAGCGTCCCCGTGGCCCAATGGATAAGGCATCCGCCTACGAAGCGGGAGATTGCGGGTTAGAGTCCCGTCGGAGACTCCTTTTTCTCTACTCGTTCTTTTGCACTCCTTCTTTTCGAACGGATGATGACTCACGACGTTTCGACGCTGGACCAGTCAGCGTTCATACATGACATCTCTCGGAAGCCTTCATTGGGATACACAGAAATAAAAATGGCAACCGGTATGGAAGACAGCTGCACCTGTACCGTGTTCATGCAACGTTGTGGTCATAGTCGTTTGATCGGCGGAAACATCGTGCCGTCCATCCGTATGATCTGCGATGAAGTCCGTACAGCTCCCATTACTCCCTCTAGTGTCACGAACGATTTGCAGTTTATGCAGACTACTTTGGTCGTCCGTGAGCACCACCCTTCACTATCACGACAATACTTTCAGAAGGATAGCGATGGATGTTTACACGTCAACCGTCTATTCGATTCAGATTCTCCAAGTGTTTCGCATTTGATCCACCGCCCACCCTCGCGTGCTTGTCTACAGTTTTGAAAGGCAGCTATGAAACACATCGATCGCTTCCCTGGCGCGTTGCGCACTACATACTCTCTCACTGATGCCACACACGCGATGCGGGATGTGCCAGGACTGCTGGATACATGCGGTTGTAATGTGGAGTGGTACGGGCGCGTCGCTGTAGCTATAAGCGTTGAAATATCGATTTTGTGGTGGTTGCGGTGTGTAGTTTGTGAAGCGTCCCCGTGGCCCAATGGATAAGGCATCCGCCTACGAAGCGGGAGATTGCGGGTTAGAGTCCCGTCGGAGACTACCTTTTCTCTACTCGTTCTTTTGCACTCCTTCTTTTCGAACAGATGATGACTCACGACGTTTCGACGCTGGACCAGTCAGCGTTCATACATGACATCTCTCGGAAGCCTTCATTGGGATACACAGAAATAAAAATGGCAACCGGTATGGAAGACAGCTGCACCTGTACCGTGTTCATGCAACGTTGTGGTCATAGTCGTTTGATCGGCGGAAACATCGTGCCGTCCATCCGTATGATCTGCGATGAAGTCCGTACATCTCCCATTACTCCCTCTAGTGTCACGAACGATTTGCAGTTCATGCAGACTACTTTGGTCGTCCGTGAGCACCACCCTTCACTATCACGACAATACTTTCAGAAGGATAGCGATGGATGTTTACACGTCAACCGTCTATTCGATTCAGATTCTCCAAGTGTTTTGCATTTGATCCACCGCCCACCCTCGCGTGCTTGTCTACAGTTTTGAAAGGCAGCTATGAAACACATCGATCGCTTCCCTGGCGCGTTGCGCACTACATACTCTCTCACTGATGCCACACACGCGATGCGG